CCCCTGCACCTGGCTACAGCTGTTTGCTCCACTTCTATGGCACTGACTTAAATGCACACCAATGAGGCTGTAGGGCTGCGGAGAACTTCCATCACGTATGGAGATGGTGAGGCACCATCACATGACTTTCCTTATCAATACTGAGCAGAACAGCACTCAGGCATTCCTATAACAGGGGAAGTGTATGTTTCCCATTAATGCAGCTCTATTGTTCAAACCTGATGTATCCTTCATTGAACACAGGCACAGTGGGGGCAGCTATTTATTCAGCTTTTAGACAGCAGATGACCTTTAATGCAGATACCATGACTCCAAGTGTGGCTTTGGTTTTTGAGTGTATGCCACTAGTTAGAGCGTTTTGTCAACGTGGAAAACATCTTACGTCAACTGCAAAATTGTGAGGACATTCTGACATTTTCAGGTCAAGCTCATCTAACATCTTTACAGAGGCGTTTGAAGACTTGGTTCTGATCAGGGTCTATCTGAAGAACTCTACACCGACTCTCTGACTGCTCAAGATTCAACATCATCAAAGGCAAGGCATTGGCTGATACCGGCATCTCCATCCTTGGGGTCAGGGTTAAAACGTTTGGTTATCTATCAGAGGGTCAGAATATCTCAGCAGGTCATTAGCACACCTCCTGTTCTAGTTGTGAGAATAGAAACGAGATGAGTTTGGTAAAAGGTGGGGTTAAAATAAGGGGTTGGGGTGAGGCAATGAGATGAGGGGGTAAAGGTTAAGGTACTGTGTCTTTGGGTCTACGACTGTAAAGTCTATTAGACTGTACAGGGGCAGGTGAGGCTGTGTTGTGTCTGTGTGATGCGTTTAATTGCTCACCATGAGGCTCAAAGACAATGTGGTGGGCAGATTACCAGCAGACAGACAGACACAGACAGACACACAGACAGACACACAGACAGACAAACAGACAGGGGCTGCTTACCTCAACGCAACCTTCACACTGCAGTCCCCCAGACTCGCCATCGTTGTCTGTTTCCAAAGTCCACCAGCGACGAGATGTGGAGTAATTCTGCTACGTTAGGTATTCGGTGTGTGTGTGTGTGTCTGTGAGGTGTGTGCTGGTTGTCTCAGGTCAGCAGGAGCAGCCGTCAGGAGCTGCTGAGCTCCCGCTGCTGCTGCTGCTGCTGCTGCCTCATCGTTACTCCTCCTGTCCGCTTCTTCTTCCTTTTCCTCTTCTTCACCTCCGCTGCCGCCGCGCTCATTTTGTGCACGTCACATCTCAGTGTTTTAACAACAACCTTTACTTCGCTCCCCGCGTTCTCTGTCTGTGTCTCCCCACATCCTGTTTAAAGAGCCATCTCTCTCTCTCTCTCTCTCTCTCTCTCGCTCTCTCTCTCTCAATGAGTCCACACCGTAAACTGGAGGTGGTCATGCTGCATTGGAGGACCCTCGGAAATCTGTGCGACTTCCGCTGTTAAAAATCGACCTTTGTTTGAGAAGGATGGACACTTTCTGTATTCACAAAAAAATAAAACTAGAGGACAGTTATTTACAAAGTATATAAAAAGCGGGTGAATTTGCTTGTACTTCGTGTTCTGCTACTACCAGGCTAAACCATTCAATCATTTCTTTGTGTATTTTCCAAAGTAATAAACATTTTTCAAGCAACATTTTTGAATTCAATACCGAGCTATTTAAATAATACAAAAAAATTACATATTAATGTATTTATTTTGTGACATGTGCAAGATACACCACACCAATGACAGAGACATTGCCTCTGGGCCAAAGCACCACTGTAAAGAAAAAAATAATTAAATAAATCATGCAACACATTCATGAACTTTTCAACCAAATACTAAAATAATATTAAATTAATTTAGTATGGTTTTGGACTGTGGAAGAAAAAAGGTAAACTCAAACCAAATCCATGTACACCACTGGGAAATCATCTTACCCCATAAAGGCCTTAACGTCTAACCCTTTGTTTCTTTCTATAATATTTGTTGATACATATTGTGATAAAACTGCATTTACAAAAAAGATTTTATAAGAATTAAATGAGGAAATGGAAAGCAAGTAGTGAATTGGTTTCCCGAGCAATCCATGAACGCAACATAATCGCTTGAGATTGACATCAAATACGGCCAGTTCCGGTGCAAGTACCGCCTTTCTTGTACAACCCTAGCCAATCAGAGAGAGCGTATGGCCCCGCCCCTACAGTACACGCCCACAACTGACTGAAAGTATCAGAAACCTGCAGAGAAGTGAGTGCCGGCGGACACATCTGAGGTCTGTTAAACTGCCATAAACACCGGCAGACTTTTCCCATGACACAGAGGAGGGGCCTCCATTTTAAACACCTCTGGGTCAAAGATCGTATCAGATGAAGAGCCTATTATATAGCCACAGAAAGTGTAGAGAGTTCGAGGGGAAGTGCAACTCTGCCTACTTCCCTGTGCTGCTGAGTCTGTTTTCGAAATAACTAGCTTACTTTCTGCTTGTTGAGTCAAAAATGATGACACGCTGCTTCTTTTTTTTTTTCTCAACATTTTGGCCCCTTGGTTTTCTGTAAGGCCCAAAAATCAGACATCATATTTGATAAATAACCACCACAACCTGTTGAAATTATATAATTTCAACCAGTTAAATTGTGACATACAATTGATACATAATCTTATTTAAAGTGTTCCAGGATCCAGGAAATCCAAACCTTCTGCCTTTATAATCAGAAAGTCAACTAGGACCTGTACCTGGTGAGAAAGGAAAACGTCTCCAGGACTCAACATATGAACATACTTTTCTGCCTGTCGTCCAGTTTTCAGTAATACCAACAATGTTAGCGCCTACAGTACGCTGAAATGCCTGAAATCAGTGTCGGATTCCGATCTGGATTATCAATCTGTTATGAGGATAAATCCCAAATCCTCTTAAACCTGATGGGAAAACAGCAATGGGACAGTAACACACAAACAAGGGTGGTGCACACACTCACTCACTCACTCACTAAACAAACAGCCAGTGTACTTGGCCAGACATGCTTTCAAAAACCACACGAAGTGTTACATAATTAGCTTTGCGTTAAGACCACTTCATTCTCCTCAGGTATGTTTCCAGAGTTTTCTAATCCAGTCCTGCGTGCCGCCTCCACAAATAATAATGAATGGAAGTCGGTTTCATAATCATACTGTGTGGGTTCGACAATCAGGCAGATATTCTAAAAACTCCATCCACCAGACTGCACTGTAATCTGTGTGTGAGTCTGGGGGGGGGGGTCTTAAAAACACCCTCACTGTGTAAAAGTATTAAAAGAAAAACACTTAAGCCATGATTCTGTTGTTCAGCCATTCATTACCATGATGGGATTTTACACTGTATTACCCAGACACAGCTGTACACACACACACACACACACACATTTTCACAGTCACTGTACTTCATAATGGTCTTTAACAACTTCAGCTTGTGCCTGATTCTGTTTGCTGCATCATTTCAGATGGTGTTTTTAAAAACAGTTTAATCATTGATATATATATATATATATATATATATATATACACATCATTTTGTGGATCTGTGTGAAAAACCACTGACAACACACCATCATCCTCCATCCATCCATATACCATAAAGAGCTTCCCTGCTCTATAGTGTCTTAATGCTTTGAGTATGGAATTAAATTCAGATCAAGGATCACTAAAGTACTACACTTTTCAAACCTTTTACCATGTATTATACAATATTTTCCTCAATTCAAAACGTATACAGTAGTTATTTTCCTATGTCCTGCTATTTTTCCTCAATGTAAATACAGACGGCTGGTGAAACTGAGTCTTATATTCTCTTGGATTTTATTCTTTGATGTGTCTATAATCCCTCACATGTATTTCCTGCCTATATATTGGCTTTGAAGCTCTCTAAACTAATCCTTCTTTCTTCACCGTAACAAAACAGTGTGGAGTAGCTTGGATTACACAAACAGATGTGGGACGTCTCTCTGACAAAGGAAAGAAAGAAGTGCAGTGCAAATATATAAAAGTGGAATTAAGACAAGTTGTTTCTCTTTTCCCTCATCCTTTCGCTCCACTCTGAGTGTGCATGGGATTTAAGACGGTGTCAGAAATCCACGTCTTGGACTGAGGAACTCCTTATGTGCTTGGGATTTATGTGCGTCAGCTGCAGTGGTCTTGGGGGTATTCAACTTTCCAAAACCCCCACCACCAATTTATTACGCTCTGTCCTATCACTTCTGCAGAACTTTCAGTGCAAACTGTGAATCAGTGGTAAAAATATCTTCACAGCTGAGATGTGAGGAAAATGTGTTTGGTTTCACAATAGTCGGGAGTTAATGTTTGCTAAACCAAAGGACACATATCATAAAACATGCAATTAAAGAAAAAATAAAACCCAACTGCCCACGAAAAGGAATACAGAACAGATGAGTGGTGTCTCAAAGGAAGTCCACAACCAGAGTTAGTTTGAAGTCAATTAGTTAAATGTTTGTAAAAAAAAAAAGGCAACAAGTAAAAGAGGGACAGAGAAAATAGCATACGCTATGCTACGTTAATATGTTTTGAACATCAGGGTGGATCAAACATTAGAACTTTAAAATAAAATTGCTACAGATTAAAGATAACTCAAAGCTATCCAAGCAGCTAACAAAAAAGCCAAACATGCCGTAACAAAAGTTATATAAACGTAGTCATAAATGTAACAGTTAAAGGAGTTACGTGTCTCCGACTCGAGGAAGGTGAATCCAAGAGCAGGAAACACGGCAGGTGAGTACGGAGTAAGAGTTTATTCATCAGTGCTGCACAGTTCTTCCAGGTGAGGGAGCTGTAGCCAGTGGTTGGTTCAGTCCCAGTGATTCTGTGCAATATTTACAACTAGTAGTGTCAGTCAGGAGCTGATATCCTGCTCTGTTGATTGGAAGGAACCACCTTCAGGTGTGCAGCTCATCAGCCCAGGAGTCAACACAGCTGTGGAAGTTGACTCTGAAGTCTTTTCTTTCTCCTTTGCCGTCTTAAATGAGGTTAAACAACACTGGTACTGACTGGTGTGGTAGTTTCTGGAGATGGGGTCAATCTACCCACTGCCCTTAATATGAGTTGACAACACGGCATCGTGTCATCAATTCCAATAAGTTTTACCCTATATTCACAGATCAGAGTGGACTTCACAATCTATAATCTATACGTGATGTGACACGGTCTCCTCTCTTCTTCCGCCCTGCTGAGAAATAGTTCTGTAGAGATTGTGATGTGAGATTCTATCAGAGGTTTCAGGTTCACCACGTCTTCATGTGTGTGAGGAAAAACACATTCCTTTGACTTTACTTGTAGGAGCCAGTAACCGGTTGTTCACACATCACCAGTCACTGACATATATATATACTGTATATATAAAAGTGGTCCATGTCCAGCACCGTGTCAGGGACACCGTCCTCTGCAGACCAGACCCACGCCCCCACTTCCATCCCATGGCAAATCACTGACCCAAATTTTCCAGCATCTTCAGCCAGACTGTGGTGGTTCCTGACTTAGAGAGTGAGCTGGACTGGAGCTGGAGCACGGAGGCTGCTGCAGCTCCAGCTCCAGCTCCAGGGCTTTTGGAGAGAGGTGGTGACTGTTATTGAGTTACTGCTTCAGAGGACAGTCTCTCTCTGTGTGTGTGTGTGTGTGTGTGTGTGTGTGTGTGTGTGTGTGTGTGTGAGGGGGAGAGAGAGGGGTAAAGAACAAGGACTTGTTATTTGGTCCTTTGCCCCAAGCTCAGTGCATGCCTGTATTCACACACACACACACACACTGACAAAAGACTAATAGTGCCCATCTGTGTCAGCTGACATGAGAAAAAAGAGAGAGGGGGGGAAATGGTGGGAGACAAAACAGAGAACCCCGGAAACCAAATTCGCTGATACCATGAGGTTTAAAAGTTTGACTTTTTTTACCACTGCATTTTTCATAATATACAATCTAAAGTATTAATGAAATTGAAGATGTTTTAAAAATGCACCTTGTCGTAACAGTTTTAAATGAAAAATGTACATGAAATCTACTCCCTCCGTAGCACACATCATGGTACAGCCAGGTTAGTAAAATGTTTGTTTTATTTTGGAGTTTTGTTCTTCGTCATCTAACACTGCCACCAAGACCCCATCATCCCTCTGAGGGGACCTGATGCCTTGTTTCTATGGAAACAGGGCTCAGATGGAGGCAGACAGGAAGAGATGCTGAGACGACAGAAAAGCCTCTTTGTGCTCTCAGAGCTAATTGACCTGACGACAGTGTGACGGGTTAATCACGCACTGGAGCCTGGTCAGACCCCTGACCACACACTGAAGCTGCAGAAACACACACTTTATTATTCAGTGACTATTAAAGCGTATTTAAGAGCAAAATTGAGACCGAAACATTGGCCGACCGATATCATCGGCTAAAATTAGCATAATTATGTAAGATCTGTAAGAATCGTTAGCGTTTTTTTCCTCTGAATGAAAACCCCAGAACGTATTGCCTGGGTTTTGTCAAATGACGTGAGCTTTAAAATAGTTATGGGGATAAACGGCTATATGTGAAAGTTAAAGTCACTAGATGGCAGCATTGCAGCTCATTTATAACCTTATACTCATACAACGGTTTGTACAGATAAATAAATAAATATTACCAGACCTATATGGGTTTAGGTTGATATCAGAATTAAAAATGAAATGTGGACAATACTGACATATCAGATATCGGTTAATATAGGACATCTCTAGTTCATATGTATCTGTACTACCTTTCAGTGGTTTGCCATTATAATCATTCTTTTATGTATAAAAGCTGGACTTTTGGAATGACATCGTAGCATCACGACCTTGGGAATGTCAAGGACAGATTCAAATATTTGAAGGACACTTTGGCTCTGAGGTTTCACTGACCATGGCACATACTTCAATTCAAACTGTACTCTCTGGTATTTGTGTTTTCAGGTTTAACTCCGTGAGTTACTGCGCTGTTTACGGTTGGCTGTTTTAGTCATTATTATTTATGTGTCTGATTAGTGAGCAGTGACCAATGTGAAAAATATAATTTTATAGTCACACACTGATGTGACGTACATACAGTACTAAAGCAGGCACACACTCACACACACACACACACACACTTAATTCTGTGTCTGAAAATTGAATTGCCACTTCCACATAACACGATTATAAAGAGCCTTCCTCTCACACTGGGCTGGTATCACTTAATAAAGCTAAGTGCATTAACACGCTTGTGCCCACACACACACGCACATGAACCAATAGAGATCCATACATCAACCCTCTCAATGTCCCAGTCTTACTGAAGGATCATAAATACTAAATATCACTTGCATTAAAAACATGTGGCACAATCTGAGGCTCGGGGTCAAAAACAGGTTTTTATTCATCCTTCCTCTGAATATGAAGACGTTGGTGAAATATCTTCCAGAAGGTCCAAACCTGTTATCATCAGACATGTGTGTGTGTGTGTTTTACATCCAACACTGTTGTGTTGTTGTGAAGCAGCAGTATTTGGGTCACTGCGTCAGAACAGCAGCGTGGGACAGACGTAAAAATAACTATTAGATTACAGATAACGCTATTAAACACCGCTCCATAGGAATGCACTGTGGGATTTCTAAATGGCATGTGACTGTAACAGTGCCATGATCGTGATTCATCAGTCTGCTTTGTCTGGCATGAAATCTGATGTGATGTGATTTCAACAAAAATGAGGTTTTGGAATAAATACAAACAGGGATTTTATTTATTTATTTTTTTTTCAAAGGCTAAATTTACACCACTGTTGCTCCAGAGGGGTGAATGGGGTGTGAGACATGGATTATCTCTGCAAAATGGTGACAAAAAGAACTGCGTCATGTCAGTGTATTATTTTAGATTTCTACTGATTTTATTTTCTGGATCCTTCTTTGTGTATTCAGCCATTCTCTGTTTATTGTCCATCATGCAAATCAGTTCTATCTTTAGAAATACAGATATGACAGACGTGACTTTTGAACAATGTATTTAAATAAAGGTGAGATTAGATAAGACTTTATCCATCTCACACCGGGGAAATTAAGAAAAGGAAGGTGTAGGTGAACATACTGAATATACAGTTCTATGTCTCCATCTAGTGGTTAATTGTAGTACTCACTCAGATCGACAAGCGCTTTGATCAGTGTGAAAAATATTTCTGAAATTCGTTTTTAATTTAATTTTAATTGTTTTTAGTTTATTTTGCAGCTTCCTGAGTATGTATCTGAAATGAAAGTGCTCTGACCCCTGTAAGTGAGAGAGGAGAGAACTACTGGTGTGCCATCTGTTAAGGCACAGTGTTTCTCTCCTCTGTGGATCATTTAACCATTAATCATTTATCAACGCCACTTTCTCTCTCTCTCTCTTTCTCTTTCTCTGACCTCTGAAGAGGGACGACAGATCTGCATCCCTCACACTGGACAGAGAAAAACATATGGACTGCCACGATATGAAAGTGAATAGAACAGAATAGAATAGAACAGAACTTTGTAAAACATCCCAGACGAAGACTTCTGCCATGCTCCCTGCACAGGAAGCAGCCAAGATCTACCACACCAACTACGTGCGTAACTCGCGTGCCATGGGCGTCCTGTGGACGGCTTTCACCATCACCTTTTCTGTCATAACAGTAGTGGTCTTCATACAGCCCTACTGGATTGGGGACAGCGTCAACACACCGCAGGCCGGATACTTTGGCCTTTTCCACTACTGCATAGGGAACGCTCTCACTTCAGAGCTGACCTGCAAAGGGAGTGCCCTGGATTTTGGCTCCATCCCCTCCGGAGCCTTCAAGACGGCCATGTTCTTTGTGGGTATCTCCACATTACTGGTGGTGGCCAGCATCGTCTGCTTCAGCCTCTTCTTCTTCTGCAACGCGGGCAGTGTGTACAAGATCTGCGCCTGGATGCAACTGGCCTCCAGTGAGGAACAGACTTTCTATTCCATTCTATTCTGTTCTATTCTATTCTATTCTTTTGAAGTTTTGAAAGGTAAAATGTGTTGCTAAGGACCAAAAACGTGCACTATTTAAAATGTATGGTAGATGCTCACCAAACAGTAACCAAGAAAAAGCAACAACAAAAAAAAAAAGTTAACCAAACACATGTTATCGAGGAAGGAAATTTCTCACTGCTGGAAAGTGCTGCTGAATGTGAGTGACCTTGAGGTATTGCATGTGTGTGTGTGTGTGTGTCATTTTTGATCATAATTGTATCCTGCCGTGTTTCAGGTGGAAAAATGGAGACAGTGAGAACTCGGTTTGTGAGTGTGTGTTTGTGTGTGAGCCTCTGAAAGGGAAAGTGCGATGAGTGCACGTGCGTGTGTGTGTGTGTGCCAAGTTGTTTCTCCTTGTCACATGAGCTCACATTGCTGTTCACACAGTGAGACAACATGAGACAGGCTGTCTGTCTGTCTTTAGGGTCAATAATAGATGAGCAAGTTTGTTCTTTCTGGAACTAAATGATGTAGGTTATAAGCTTTTTAGTTGTTATGTTTGCACATATATATATATATAATATAAAATAAAATTACAAATGAATATTCAGCATCTGGTTTTCACCCTTCCTGTCCAACTGTGTCTGGCTGCCAGGTACATGCATGGTGATTGGCTGCATGATCTATCCTGATGGCTGGGATTCCGAGGAGGTGAAGCGCATGTGTGGCCAACGAACTGACAAGTACACCCTGGGCAACTGCACGGTGCGCTGGGCCTACATCCTGGCCATCATCAGCATCATGGACTCGCTCATCCTCTCTTTCCTGGCCTTCAGTCTGGGCAGCAGACAGGATAAGCTGCTGCCTGAGGACTTCCAGGTGGAGGGGAAAGGTACGAGGGTGTAGGGTGGGTGGAGAATAACAGAGGTCAAAGGTCAAGGGGTAAAGAGATATGGAGACCAAAAGCAATGTTTTAATTTGATGTTGTTAATGTTTTGAGCAAGGTGGTGTGAATAAAAAAAAACTATAACAAAAAACCACTAGAGGGTGACAGACAGACGAGTTGTCAGAGAAAATTTCACTGAGCCCATTATAAAACTGTATAAAGTTTTATTTTTAGTCTTAAAGGCTACTGTACAGACCAAATTAAATCTCCATTTCTTTTTAGGTACTTAGTCATTAGGTAACTATTTTTATCTCTTATTACAGATAATGCATAGATCCCTTGACGATGACAAGAACAAGAGATGACCAAACAGTGGAGGAGAGATGGATTCAAGGTTCACATGTACTTTCTAATCCTGTAGAGTTTTCACCACAGACTCTAACCTTTTAATTATGGATTTTCTGGCGCTGCACTAAATCTGTGACTAAAATAACCATACAGACATGGACCCTGGTATTAAAATCATTAAATATAAAGTCTCCAAAGACCAATTAAAAATCAGATAATTTACAACAGGTGTAGTCAGAGTGACTGATGGGTTCTGGAGTGCATTTCTGTTCTCCCTCCTGTACTAAAAAACAGCTAATTATATTTCTTCATTTGAGACAAATGTGTTTTGTTCAATAGATCTGTAAGGGTTGTAGTTCTTCAGTATATTGAAAAGGCAGTGTTTTAACAGTACTAGTAGTAATATTACACTGAAACCATTCACCTGGGCAAAACCCTGTACCAGACATATGTGAAGTTAAGTAAGGAAAAGCAGTCCTAATAAGATTTTGAAAAATATTTATTCTCATTACCTACAGAAAAAAGATAACATAAAAGGAGAAACATGGACATTTTGTAGAAAAATAAGAAAATGGTTCAGAGGAAAAACATAACCTATTCCAGAATCTGTACTTTTTATTTAAATTCAACACCAGAATGACCAGAAAATTTAGTTTTTTTTTCATGTTATTGTAAAGCACCTTCACATTTTCAACACATTTCAACCTAAGTCTCAAAAACTTAAACGGTTAAGTTTCTGCCTTGAATTCACACAGAAACGTTGCAATGTATAGGCTGCAGACGGAGAACAGATTGAAGGCCCAGTCTTTGGTACACTGTACTGAACACACAGGACACAGATTCACACTTGTGTCTCACAGGAGCAATGCGGTATGGCTATGGCTATATTAGGCAAATTTACAAAGGTAAAAATAAATCCCTTAGGTGTGAAAGTCCATTAAGTGAACGTGCAAGAAATATTTTTGTTCACATTTTATTCTACCAGCCAGGCGTCTCCTCTCGAAAGCACAAAAGCAAACCTACATCCAAAAAAGAACAGAAAGTAAAAAACATTAAGTATGAGTTTCTTTTTCCAAGTCTCATTTACAAAAAATCCCTCATTAACTGTGCTGTCTGCATACAAATGTACAAAAGAATGTAGCAGCACTTGTCACTCTACAGACCTGCTTGTATGATGCAGTTAGTCATTTTAAGGTCATTGCGAAGAATTGAGAGCTAGCTCAAAGAAGTTGGTAAAGAGATGGCGGCAAATAACTCTGGCTAATTCCTAAAATAATAACAGCACATGGTTGTAGAGTGAGAGTATGAAAGAACATTCTCAGAAAAAAACACTGAACCATACAAAAGTACCGCCCCGAGTGATATTTAATGGGTCACCAGAAGTTTACTGCAACCTATTCATCTGCAATGATGCTGCCCCCTGTGTCCATTTTCTCCTTTTTTTTTATTATTTAAGAGATCGGAAAACTTGGGGTGGGAAATATTTTCTGGTTAAATACACCTCGTAGCTGGTAGTAATGCAACTAAAGGATGTTAGTTGTCCAAAGGTTGGAGGGAGGGATGGGATCAACATATGTTTATTTATTTCTTTGTTTGTTTTTGGAGGGAGAGATTTATACTAAATGATAAAGGTTTAGCAGCACATACAATACATGGACCATGAATTTAAAACATTTCCTTTTGATAGGAAAGGAGGAGATTCATGATCAATTTGTGGATAGTCAAAGATATTATCTGTTTATTTTACTCCTAATACTCGCCCTCAAAATGTTTAAATTGAGTTGTCAGGGTGTTTTAGACAGGCGCAATTTTTGTTTTTAATTTAAAGGTCAATTATCAGTATCAGAACAACTATGGATAAATAAGGCTGCTGAGAAAGAGCTGCAGTCAGAGGCAAAAGAAAACACTTCCATTGAGAAGATGATGCTGTGTCGAGTTGTGTAACAAAGGGAAAGCCCTTGAGTTCGTCTCATAACCAGTGTAATCCATAGGACTAACAGATGGAGCAGCAGTTTCTTCTTTCCCAACGATTTCAACCATGTAAAACTTCATCCATGATCCATGACACCAGGATGCAGGTGTGATGCAGCAGCAGGCTCTTGCAGACATGAGTGTTTATTTATTTGACTGTGGTCGTAGCTTGAAACCCAGTGCATCCGATGTATGTACGCTATGAGAATGGTAGCAGGGTCTCAGTGACCTTTAGGGTGTGAGCCATGGGTGAGAGAGGCACTGAGCGGCTGTGGCTCTTCTTTCAGGAACCAAGTCGAGCATTGGCAGGAGGAAGCTGCTGAAAGAGTTGGCCTCTTCTTTTGACCACTCGTATTTTTCTACCAAGACTTCAAACAGACCCCATGGCTTCAGCTTGGTGATGTGACGCAGGTCACCTGAGAAACAAAGTTCAGGTTATTACTTAACATAATAATTAAGGCTAAATGCCTATTAGATTTTATAAAATTAAATGTGATATAAGTATCTAAATGATTAAAAATTGTTTTGAGGAACAAGGATAAATGATTAAAAATTGTTTTGAGGAACCAGGAACATTGTTTCATAGGTACTGTTAGGGACACTGAAGTGGGCTGGAGCCAATCCCAGTAGTCACCAGGTGAGGGCGGGGTTCACCCCGGACATTTCAACACCCCATCAAAGGACCACATACGCTAACAAACAACCGTTAAACTCACTCAATTCATGACTGTGGTCAATTTAGAGTGAACAATTTACCAAACCCTGCACATTGTAGGACAGTGGGAGGAAAGTGAAGTACCTGCAGAAAACCCACACACACTGTTGAACAAGCAAACTCCAAGTATTAAGAGCATCGGTTACTGCAAAGGGATTGGAATGTGGACCTTCATGGTGCAGGGCAAGAACAGTACCCACTATTCCACTGTGCAGCTCAGAAAAAAAAAATCTGTATTTCATCAAAATTGTACCAGGAACTGTTTTTGAGGAACACTGTAGGTTTTGCCTTATCACAAGTCCATTCAGTGTGTACTTCTCAATTAGGTGTTATTATGTCCTTGAGGCGTCTTTGAATCAATGCAGTGTGTGTAATAAGCTCGACAAGGAAGCAGGAACCCCAAAAAATATATGTAATGTTGTATGGGAGTCAGAATTTTTTATATATATATTTAATTTTTGTTTACCATGCTTCTCTGCAGTCTCATCTGTCAACAGACTTATTAGACTGCGAAGAGCCAAATACCCTGGATAATTCATCACATACGCTGTAGCTGTAGCTGCAGCAGACTGTAGTGACAGGTGTGTTTACCTTTCTTGGTGAAAAATTCCTTGGAGTATTTGCCTGCCAAGATTAACTTTCTAGGAATTTTTCCCAGCAGCTCGATGATCAGGGCTATGTGATCTGGAGTAAGGCAGAAAAAAGAACACACACAGATGGTGAAACAACAACGACAACTATTTACACTTGATTTACAGAATCCAAAGTGTAATTAAACCAAGATTCGACGGCATTAGAAGATTAAATTACAATTCAGTCTGCTCTCTGGGGATTCACTCTTTTCTCAAACAGCTGAATTCACACTTGACGTCTTTTGCTTCTCCAAATCTTAGACATTTTAGCAAACTTTACAAACCTTCATCTCTGGAGTAGTCTTCACCAGAATGGGGTTCAAACAGATAATCTCCAGTAGCCAGTTCAAAGGCCTAAGATAGATGAAATTAGAGACATCATTTAGAATATTTTGCTGAAATAGAACTCAGTTTATCACATCAGTTTCATTTAAGTTCTAATGTTACAATAATAATGTAAACACAGGTGGTTCTAACCATGCAGGCCGTGCTCCAAATGTCCGCTGGTGTTCCGTAGCCAGCTCCTAACAGTACCTCAAGAGACCGATACTGTCTGGTCTGGATGTCGTCTGTAAAATGTTTATGCTGTGGGAATAAAAGAAAGAGTAAACCCTTCATTTTTGTTTTCAAGCTGAAGACGCTTTAAATTGTATTATCAGGGAAACTAAAAAAGTGTGTTTGTTTTGTTTTGTTAATTTAAATGAACCTACCACCCAGCAGGCGTTACCAAGGTCAGCGATTTTAACCTGCAGCTTCTCAGCATTGACAGGCTCCAGAGGGTTTACCAACAGACTGCCTGACGCTCCTGGTGGTAAAGGTGAAAACAAGACAGAGGTGGACAAAGGACAGAAAAAGACAAATGAGCACAAATCAATTAGACACATGTAATAAGCTGGTATTAAATTTTAATGACATTGTGAAAAAAATAAAAAATAAAACAAACCAAAGAACTAAAGCACTGGTCACATATTACTTACATTCATTACTGGGTACTGGGTTAGAAAATGTCTATATAATGTGCTGGGTCAAAAACATTACGCCAACCCCACTCTCTGAAGCCCTGCACATGCACTGAAGGTTTTTCTTCTAGTACAATGTGTCACATCAACATGCATCACATACAGTGTAATTTAAATGTATGTAATAGGGGTGGGTCAAACTCAATCACTCAACCAATCACAATTAACACCTCACTGTTAATTGTTTTACCACTAACCTAAAATGTCATCAATGTTAACAGATAATGAAGTCAACGACGCTATGTCCTCCAGTCCTAGGATTAAAGCTGGAAAGATACAGATTTTTGTTTGAAGACAAAGACTGTGAATCACACACTTAATGACTGCACCTGATGAGATCATCATTTGTCAAATACAACCAACTAAACCCATCAATCTCTCCCAGATTCAATGATATATTAACCATGAGTCATGTGTAAATATAACAGAGTCGATTTTTTTTCATTATCCACTCACAGTCAGGTTGTAGTTATAAAAGATGTAAAAACATTTGAAATCAAATTTTATCAAGAAAGAAAAAGAACCTGGCTTCTAGGTTAGAAACGTACCATTTTGGCCCTTCTCCTCTTCCTCGGCTCTTTTTGTCTCCTCCTGAATGTCCATAACCTCCCCCCGCTTCTTCTCCTTTTCTCCCTCCTTCGGCTCTACAGACAGAGAGTCAGGTATGGGGGTTGCAGGAGGCTGCTGCGGGTCTCCTTGTGACAAACCATTACAGGTCTGATGCTCTTCATTTTTATTCAACACATCCGTGCTGTCTTTAGCTCGGTTAGCATTTTGGACGTCTTCCTGCTCCTCCTTCAACTGTTTGGTTCTGAGAACCTCACCATCTGGACTGGCTTCACTTTCTGTTGCAGAGGGAACACCATTGTAGTTCACATCCATGTTGTTCTCCTCTTGTTTTTGAACACTTCCTTCAGGGATCAGAATCGGTTGATTGTTGAGGACTGCATCTGAAGCAAAATTAAAAATAATTTTTAAAAACAAGTTCGCTGAAACTTTTAAATAAAACCCTGATTTTTTTTCACCTGTTAAAGAATGGTTAGCAATGTCCTGCAACGTTGAAGACATAGACAAGCTGGCTGATAACGTTGTGTCTACTGTGGTCTCTGTTGTCTCATCTTCCTCTTCATCTTCACATCCTTCGACCGTTCCACCTCCTCCATCTTCTCCCCCTTCCATCTCCTGGATCCGTTTCTCCAAAAGCTCTGCCTGTTTCTTTTGCTTCTTCTTCATCTTCCTCTTTTTGTTCTTTGACATCTTGGCCATCTGAAAAGTGAGAAATAAACAATTATAACTGAGTGACTTGATGTAAAATGTACTTTGAAAGAAATCTCACATTGTGCATGAACATATTTTTACTTACTGCTTTGGGTGGCGGGGCTGTGCTCACTAAAGGAAAAAGAAGAGAAAATTGAAAGGTGAGATAAGAGAAGGGCATATGTGACAGATCTGTCGCCTCATCATAATTAGTATTCTGTTGGAGTGGCTGTGTTGACACTGAGCTCTGCTAACAGCCCAGCAAGAGTCACACATTTCCTCTGAGCAAGCTGGAAATCTCCATAACTAATTCAGCCATGACTCATCCTGACTCACAGCTAAGTGTCTTTCCATTTTTGGAACCATACGCTCAAGTTGAAGTTAAAAATAATTTAAACATAAAAAAAACTGAGCTCTTGGGGTAGGTCTAGTGAATTTCCTTTACAGCAGCAGCATATGGTCCAATGAATCTAGAGCTTAATAACCTATTTAAATGTTGTCACGTTCGGTTCAGTTTGATAAAAACACCACATAATTGGCACATCAATCAAAACCCGGTAGACCTGCTGAGAAATCTAAAGTCTACATCTCTGGGCCAATCAGCATCACTGCTGAAATCAGGGCATGGTGCTGAATGGACAGCTGAGGAAAAGGAAAGGTGTTGACCTGCAGAGCCCGAGGGAGGAGCAGCTCCACTTTTGTGCCACTGCGTGGCTTCAGCAGCCATTTTCTTGATATAGGGCTCGTTCACAGTCAGCAGGATGTTCTCTGGTTTGATGTCTGTGTGGATAATCTTACACTTGGTGTGGAGATAGTTTAAGCCCTGCAGGACCTGTGGAACAGCAAAAAAAAAAAACTTTACAATGTACAATGTTAAAATGTGCAACCTTGTCTTTTTACAATGAGACGGAACTTGGAATCTCAGAACAAAGCATTTATGAAAACAAAGTGATGTGATTGTTCAAAAACACCAGTGGTGGTGTTGCTGCACAGTACCTGGCATATGATGCTTTTGACACAGGGCAGAGGGAGGCCTTGATAATTTGATTTGATGATCCACTTGAGAAGGTGATAGCCCAGTACTTCAAACACCATACACACATCTGAAGACAAGCATGGTCAAGGACTAAAAATAAAATCTATTCCATTCCAGATAAACGTATTGGCCTTTTAATAAAGCCAAAAGAACTTCCAGTAAAACAGATTGATTTTAAAGTGAGAAGAGATGACACAGATCATTTCATTTTTCAGCTTTGCAATAGAAAGTTAAAAAGTTAAAGTTTAAATCAGATCAGAAATTATTAGTGTTAACTGGTATTTTGTTGGAGCCACTGTCCACACTTTCAGAGGATACGAGAGCCATTCATGCCAGAAACTTTAAAGTCGTCTAGAAGCTGCACCACTCTCTCTCTGTTAGGGTCGTTGGGGTCTGTGTTTCTCACCTGAGAAACACATACACAAATACACACACATTTGTGAGAATAACAGGCATTTATGACGAGAGGGGTGGTTGAATGTAGGCCTTACCGCTTTAAGCAGCCTGATCTCATCAAGAGCTGTCTCCGTGTAATGCTCAGCACTTTTCACAACCTTCATGGCCACGAAGCGCTTCTCCCTGAAAAGACAAACAAAGTTTGATATTTATTCCAATATTACTTTATAATGTTAAACATCCATCTTAGGACATATATAAAACAGGTCAAGTGTGTGTTCAGGTTGTAGACAACAGGTAAATGGACTAAGTAAACATGCCAAATGTGTAACAAGAAAAACAGTTAGTTGCATTTTCTTTTTTTTTTTCTTGTTCAATAAACCAGGCTTTAATTAAGTTTACTACATTCAGAGATAAACAGTACCTTAAGTATCTGTCTATGTGCTTCAAATGACTCGACAAGTATTGTGAAAACTTTTGTTGATCTGCTTCTATTATTCAAAACAAAGTTTTGGTATTTGATAGCATCTCTGCGATGCTAATTGAGTACAGTTATGTGTAATAAGATTGGGAGGCAAACTCACTGGATGTCCCAGGCCAACCACACTGTGGAGAAGTGGCCCCAGCCCAGTTTACGGATCACATGGTATCTTCCGTTAAAAAGATCTCCAATTTTCACGTGGTGATATCCACCTATCCAAAAACAGACATATTTATACAGACGTATGTTTGGGTACAAAAAACTTTATTGTAGTTTCCTGTGAATTTTCATTGTTCATAGAAAGTTGTTAAATCAATAAGTGTGTTGATGATTTTTATTTATCCAATTTCTAACAAATGATGAACGAGAATGAAAACAGAGAAGTTGTGAAAGTACCTCTACAGTAGTCATTGGGATCTTCCTGCTCGTCATCATCAGAACCCAGTATCTCCTCATCCTGTTCTGGGACGGGTGAATCTGCCTGACCCGACTGAGAGCCACCTCCACGACCTTGGGGCTCTGGTCTGATAATGGAGAAAAAAATAAAAAATAAAAAAATCAGAAAAGGCAGGGACGGTGAGAAAAAGATTGCAGTTAAGTGATAACCTGAAATACGGAAATATGAAGTGTGAATTTTACTACAATATTAAGTAAAGACTAAGTATTTAATTCATCTTGACGTCTGCTATAAGCAAAGCAAAACAGTACATTACCAGGCTCAAATACAGTTAAGCAACCTTTTATGCCACCTTATTGGCCTAATTGGGAAAATGCTGGAGATGGCTGACTGGCCAGAGTCAGTATTACAGACACAGTGGTCTACTGCGAAGGACTTTAGAACACAGCAGTGATAAAAGTGGATCAAAAGAGGCAAGTGGCCTGGTTAGGAAAGTTGCTGCAGAGCAGCTCATTCTGTACCCTTTTCTACTCCTCTGTTTATACCTAAAACCCAGATTTATGTAACTATTTATGGAAGCACTACATTATTTCCATCCGCACCAGGCTGGCCTAAACAACAAAAACAAGTACAAAGTGGTACCAATACTGTTAGATTCTGAACATGGTTAAATACATGATGGAATTAAAAAAAACAAAACAATATATTTTGAGCTTAATCTGAAACAGCACCAAACAAACACCTGCATTTGCAAAACAAACTTTTTACCCTGGTGCTGTCCGTGGTGCTAAAAGAGTCTTGGCTTCTGACAATAGAAATGTCAAAAAATATATGAAATAAGATATAATCTAGTAGTTTCAATTTACAAACAATTTACTTAGTCCGAGTGAAGCTTGGGCCTGTTTGGTTAAACACAAAAATATATTTGCAGCAAGCATTCGTCTTATATCTTTAGAACCCGAAGATCATCAACAAACTCCAAAGCGTGAGATCAAAATGGTTTAATCTAACCTGACCGTATCTAATATTGTGTGTACAATATACAGTGTGAGGTTAAATGAGGTAGCAGCCAACAGCTTTCAGCATGGGGTACCGCCGTGAACATGCAGGGCAGACACAAGTCTATCTCAGCAGTGCTGTTTTTACTCCATCCCTCAAATAAACACATGGTAGCCTTTGATTTAAAACTACTGCATTTTTATAAGGCAAACAACCGTACTACACTGCTTCAGTCTCAGCTGCTGAGTCACAGGGGAAAAGTGGCTAGGGTGTGGAAAGGAATTTAGAACTAATTGAAGCATGTCACACATGGTATCATCAGAAAATACTCTGGTATTTATAGTAAAAAATTATGTTTCTGTTTACTGAAAGATATCAGTTATCATGTATTTGTGCAGTGGGGTGTATCATAATAATAATAATAATAATAATAATATAATCCCTTATTCCTCCCACATTGGGAAAATGTACAGTGTGACTGCAAGGAATACTACTATTTTTTAAACCAAACATATGGATCCAACAAAACATTTGTGTTTTTTCCTGTGGAGTGATTAAATCTTAGATGAAAGTGATTGTAGCAGATAATGAAGATGAAGCTTGATCATTTCAGGTGTGAACACACACACAGTCTGAACTGCTCAACAGTCCTTGGTCACTGGTGTCTGAGACTTTCCAAATGATGCACCAGACATTTTCGACAGCAGACAGGTCTAATTTGGCCTGTCAAGTCTACGCACCAGTGACATTTGTGCTGGTGAAAATGGTAAAATTAATGTAATTTAAAAGAGCTTTTGAAGATTCACAGTAAAAAGGCAGCAGATGACACTGTCTTCCAAAAACCACGCATGCAGCCACTGCAGTAAAAGGAGACTGTATGTTCCCAGATTATCAGGCAACGAACACAAGAGCCAACACACAGGATAATACAAGGACTTCCGTAACACATGAGACACCTTGAAACATTTCATCTACTGCTTTTTGTCTAAACAGCAACAACAGATTATTTTCATGAGCAATTGATCTAATACATTCATTATTTTGATAAAGTGATGAGGTATTTGGTCCTAATTTAGGATAAAAACGTGGCTCTTTAAGAATCCTCAAACGACCCTGAGGTCAAGACATTACGTATATGTTAAATGCACTGTCAAAAAGTAGTGGCAGATTAATTTAAAAGAAATGCTTATGACATCATAAGCAAAATATTATTGCCGACATGCATACACACACCCACACACACACAGACAACCTTCTGTTACCTGCAAGATGCACGGATGCCCATGGGTTGTGATGCTGAGGTTAGAGCAAACAAGGGCTGAATACTTAAAGAATGTTCACTTCCCCCCCTCCATCCACAAAAAACAAAAAGAAACACAAAAACAAATGGGGTGGAGAACTGGAGGGGGGCAAAGTGATCAGTGCTGTTAAGTAAAAGGAGGCAGAGATGAAGAGGGAAAAAAATAAGAAAGGAATATGTACAGAGAGGAGAGCGAGTCTCTGCTGTTGGCTGAACAGAAGCTGAATCCTGAAGCACCGCTGCACAATCACCGACTCTCTTGCTCACTTTTTTTCTCTCACATTCCTTGCCTCTCTCTCTCTCACACACTCTCTCTCTCTCTGACCGAGAACTCTCCTTGGCTGTCATCAGCCTCTAAGCCCGTCCTCTTCACCCACAGCTGGGACATGATTGGTGGATACTGCCCAGCACTGCAATGCAGGTGAGGGACGACATCATGGTTTTCCTCCCATATTTGACCAAAACAACACTATTCCTACTTCCCTTCCTGTCATTGCCACAAATTTATAACACTGCCATGTATGTTCACTTTACTTTCTTGATTTGATTGTGCACTACAAAAACATCTGCTATTAACTGTATTTCTGGTGCATTAGCTATGCTACACACTAAGCAATTTGTTTAGCAAGTGTATATCAACTGTTAAACACAGGTGAAACACCAGCACCACCCACAACCAAGGACAGTGTCCTGAGTGATGCTGAATTACTTTACTCTACTTCAAACTCTTGCTCGAATTTGTTAATGAATACACTATAATAGGAAGTTTGCCATGAGAGCCAAATGACAAATAGTAATTTTAAAATACTCTCAAGCATCTTGTGATTTCTTAACAATTGTTACTCAAAAGTATTGAATACAGTGAAAAAAATAAACAAAGGATCCATTCATTTATGTATTTATTCACCATGACCTAAAAGCCCAGAGGAGAGTGGAGTGGTGTCAAAAGTCCACTAAATTTAGTTGATCAATTCACAAGCTTGAATAATCTAAAATACAGTAAATCTAAGCCGATGAAGATGATTTTGCGCTGTTTCCACTCGTGGACTTTCTACTATTTTGTAATGACAATTTAAAAAAAAACTTGCACAATATTGATGGACGGGACAATCTGATCCCTTAGTTGTGCTTTCAGACATTTGAGAAGAATGTCTTGTTGTCTTGTTTTTCCCAATGTTTGACAACATGTAGTAATGTGTGACATAGAAAAAATGTTGGTAATTAGGTAAGTGTGTGGAGCTCATTATAATTCTGTTTTATTTCTTTCAGATATCAACAATGGACTTTTCACAAACTTTTTGTTGTTCTTGTGCTTCCTGCCTTCACACCTTTGCAAACTGTAATATTGACAGGAGTTGATCTGGCTCTTACAGTGTTGTTTCACTCCTTATGCAGAACCTTTTTCTGATCCACAGCAACATAAGCACAAGCATGAAGGATAACAAAACTGGAGAAGATGGAGTGCAGCCAAGGTTTACACCCTCGCCTCGCCTCCCTTCAGATAAAAATCAATGCAAAGTGCCTGCATGGGCAGCAGAATGAAACGACATCACTACTGTAACTGAATTCAGAATGCAGAGCACACAAAGTGTAAATGAATGTGCTGCAGGTCTTCATCCTTGTTATTCCGAAACCTGCTGACAGCATGCGCTGGTGTGTCTGCACGTGTCCCTATAAGTAAACGTCTATTGACTCAAAGTTCAACTAAAAATGTTCTCTTTGAGGGGCTGTGATGTTATAGCCCACTGAAACATTGTGAAGGGCACTGAGGAGAAGGAGCACATCAATTCAGAGAATGCATGAAAATACATTTTCAGAAGACTGATACTACAGCTTTGTGTGCAGTAAAGTAACAGCAGTTGTTTTCCTTATACACAGCATGGCCGTTCCAACAATTTTCAAAAAAGCAGATGTTATCATGGCCAGAAGCAGCTGTTCTCCTTTCACAGGCAAAACACGTGTGTAGCACTGCAATACAGAAGCCTAAAAAAGAACACAAAGAAACTCAAGAACAAGGAGTGTCTTGCAGGAGATAAAAAATGTAATGGGTTGTTTGATAAGCTGTTGCCATGACTGTGAAACAAGTGAGAGGAAAAAAAGGAGAACACAGAGGGTTTGTTGGTAAATAATCTGCATCATTGGCCACTCGCTTGTCAGCCAGACTGAGCATTTGTTTTAAAAACCTCAAAATAAAAAAAGTAAATGAACAAGTAGTTAATAAATGACTATGTTTGGTCCTGCAAAAACAATCCAGACACGATATTAGGTCCTAATGAGCTCTCCATCTACAATGGATACCATCACTTTTACTACACTTATCTTGAAAAAGAGTTTGGCAGATGTGCAGCAGTCAGCATCTGCTTGTTAATGCAAAAATAATCACTTTATTAGTGTCAGCCAACCTGTGAGGAAACTTGCCCACTCCCATTATCACACATTTCAACAAGCAGGACATCACTTTTACATCTTCTAACTCCATCAGTCAGTGTCAAACAAACACAGAACAGTTTGCTGCACTACTCACTTGCACGTGAGACCACTGGCCAGCTTCACTACTGCTACATTGATGGAGAAGATCCAGTCCAGGAGCCACATGACACAAAAAACCCAACTAAGCAAGCAGACTATAAACACTGTAGAAAAGTCGTATCTCCTCTGTGTGTGCTTCTTCTGCTCTACAGCAGCTGCTGCACCTTCTCCTCACAGCAGCCACAACCGTAAGTGAACACAGAAGGGTGGGAGGAAAAAGTGTGATAAGAGGGAAAAAACGAGCCACAGATAGAATAACGGGGAGGGAGTAGGAAAGATGAGGAACAGAGTTATACTTGGATGCTTGCCACTGACTTGACAGTTACCGAGAGGAATTATGCCATTTCAGCTAAAAGCTACTGCACTGCACCACTGTCACAGACTATGGAGGAATGTGCAAACTCCTGAAATGGAAGGTTAGTTGTGACTGCGTCACAAAGTATGTGTACAATGTTTTATACTGCTTTCTGTATTGTTACAAAATGTCTGTATTGTTACAATACAAACTGATAGTTTGTATTGTAAGATGTTGTATTTTTTCTCTGCCTCTTTAACAGCATTACAGTGTTTTGTGATTTTCTTTTTATATAACTTAATTTAAAAATGTATAAATTGCAGTAACACAACTATTTGTTGCAAGTGTTATACTATTGACTAATGATTTCAGGGACAATTTAAACCATTTCAAGGCTTTTATAGAAACTGCTTTAAAAATTCCTCACAGTGATTGTATTACATTTTGTACCAAGTAACTTATATACCTACATTATGATGCCATACTTTGACAATTCACATTTCCCAGTAATGCATAAATACCTACCAGAAATGCATATAATGCAGTTTGAGTAGGTCAACAAACCATCAGACAATGATCAACTCACAAAATGTTTATCACTTAAATTGTACTAGATTCTGTTGATATTCTTTATTCATCCTCCCAAATCCTTAGTCCTTGTACTTAATTTACATCTGCTACAAACTTCTTCACTATCTTTTAACAATCTGATTACTCTGTGTTAAATCCTAAAACCAGATATAAACCGAGAACAGAAAACAATCAAGAGCAGACAGTACAAGTTAAGAGTAAATGGCTGCTGTTCATTTTACCTTTTTCCAGGCTTCCTGGGTTTTGTCCTCTTCTTCCTCGCCTGTATCGCAAGCACTAACACAGATGACAAAAAGATAATATTAGTAAAAAAAAAAAGAAAAGAAAATACTTTTACTTAATTATTACTTTCCTGTACTACGATTATGATTAATGTTTTGTCAGAAAACATCTACAGTATTTCCCCAAACAAATAAAACTGTTAGATCGCAGTCTTTTCTGTAGGATTGTAACATTGTTTAAGTTTAATCATACATTTGACCATAAGTAAAAAAAACAACCTGACCCTAATCTCAGCAAGATAGAGATATAATTGTAACAAAGTCATACTTGACTTTAATACAAAAAATAAACAAATCAGAACGCTAAAAAAAAGCTCTCTGAACCTTCTTATCTCAACTAATAGAATGTTTCCCCGCTGGTAATTATTCATTAAAAATTAACGGGGTGGATCAATACCATTTGCAACGTAAGAGTGATAAAATATCTAACAAGTAAAAACTCAGCTCTAAACCTGTCAGTTGAGTTTTCTCAGACTAACTACCGTTGTTGGTATTGTTATTCAAACTTGTCGTTACAGGAAAACATAAAAATTAAATGCGGGTGTGTCAGCAGGTGTAAAAACATCTAGTTACAGGAAAGCAACTCCGAAGCTAACGCGTTAGCATGTAAACCAAACTAAGTAAGAAGAACAGTAAAGCCGGTAACTAAATGGAATAACTGCAATTTTTAAAATGCGTATCATGTATGAATCAAACGACGCTCGAGTTAGTCGTCCAGTTAATTCCAACTCCATGTATTTAATTTCTTATTCTTATCCAGTTATTTATTCCAGCGCACACAAACCCGGGAATAGATGCTAGTCTAACAGCTAATAAAAGCTAGCTTTCTGTTAACACCCACACACAGAGCGCATGGTCCGCTTCTACTTTTTATCAACTCCTTTTTAGGTTATAAAGTACAATTTAAGGATATTAACGAAGGTGAATAATTTATATACGAGCCAGACGTAATGCCCATGGGTATGTAAATTAACACGCTGCAATACTTCTCGTAAAAACAATATTTGGTTCAGTTAGCGATGTTACCTTTTCTTTCCATGCTGGATACCCGTCAGAGGATGAGTGTTGCGTTCAATGACTGTTGAAAAAATGAGAACTCTAAGAATGGGCGAAATTGAACAAAGAGAAAATGTGTCCCTACGTAAATGCTGTAACAGCTCAATGCAGAATATATTTTTCATAAAAGGGACGTCTTTTTCGTCGATCAATTTCTACATCTTTTCAAATAGTGACGAAACATAAAATCACATCCAGTCCCCAAAACCAACGAATGTAACCGTAAGACCCTTTTTACATTTAACTAAATTTTGGCTGTGCTCATTTGTATAGTCACATAATCGATTACTTAGTTACATATAAAACAACATCAGATGCAGCCATATAAGAAAACAAAGTTTGATTATAATAAGTGGTTTCTACTTTCACTGTAAAATGTTATGCATATGATATTGAAGCTATTTAAGATAGAGAAGGTAATTATTTTGCTACCCTTTCTGCCCAGCAGGGTATGCTGTGAACGCTGTCTAAAGGGCGGTTTCATTGGTTGAGTGCTGCTACCACATAAATACCCTTCCCAAAATGCAGGGGGTGACTGAGGGGTAACCACATTACAGGTAATCGTTATGGTCAAACAAATAATTTCACATCTGTTTCTTTTACATTGCCATTCGAACATTTAAACTCATTACAATGTACTGCACATTTTAGGTTTGAAAAATAGTAGTCTTTATTTTAAATGGTGGTATTTACAGGTGGCATGGCCTGCTGTCTCGGTACATGTGATAACAAACATGGTAAAAAAAAAAGAAAAAGATATGAACATACCTCAGGCAAAGCATACTACAATCGAGATCTAGATTAACTGTATATGTTGAGATATGGGACGAGGTAAATATTCTATTTGTCTGATGCAGTTGTAGTAAATTGATAAATAAGGGTTTCTAAGTTGCCCTTCAGCATTCAGTGAGTAAACACACACTCACAAACATGTGCCCAGCTCAATTATTCAAATAAACTGCAAAACATGGTACTAGCATTTCTAATAAAAAACAATCAACATTAAACAATAACATTAACTCTTGATTCAACACAAAGAATAAAATATTTGAAACAAGACTACCAGTACATTAAATTGCATTTATATGAAATTAGATGCAACACAAGAAGATGCCAACACCAGAACAAATCTGTGACCCTGCTCATGTGTAGGTTTTTGTGTTGTGCGATAATATTAACGGGGGGATTCAGAACATCATTTCTACAGTTGCTTTCTGATAAATATGTGAAATTTACATGTGATATTGAGTTTTATGTCATTTGTGAATACAATTCCCATTGTCAGTGTTGGAAAATGAGTCCGTTTTTTAAGACAGTACCTCGGGAAGGAAGAACTGTCTTGTGAGGCAGACTGGAGGTTCCCCACTGGTTATAGAAAGATCTTTTACATGAATAGAAAAGTTATCTATTTTTAGAAAATGTACTTTTTATATGAAGGTCCTATACTGAGCATGTGAGCAGAGTGAAATAACTGACTTGTCCAGTGTTTTCCCTGGAACTGTGATTCTCAAACTATAGTCTGTGTACCACCTAGTATTGCTTAGAGTTCATCATGTGGTCGATGAGTGACTTAATTGTTAAACAATTTTTTCCAGAATCATTCAAATTACAGGAGCATAGCTTTTAAAACATGTCTAGGCAATTTATAATTTAAATATGAAGCAGCCACATTTTCAATTTAAATGGTTAACTTCAAAACAAGTAGAGGTACCTCCAGTCTCGTCACATGACCTTAAATAGTCAGCCAGGACTATTTTCGCATAGGGTCCATGTCTGCAACAAATCAAAAACACTGACTCCCAATGACTGGACCGGCATGAAATATCACTGCTCATGCATTTGGTTTCTGGAACAGAAAGCTCTTCATAAATAATAAAAACAATTCTAAATTCTGACAAATAATATTCTGTTTTACATTACTACATTTATATATATATTTATATATATATAAACAACATAACAAAAGATCATAAATACAGGCAGGCTGGTGCCCTAACATTCATACAACAAACACCAGAAGTACTGTGTCTCATAAATGCAATACAAACAAATTTAAGTTTATGTGGTGAGAAACATCACATTTTAAAAACCTAGTAAAACTTATTCACACATTGTCATGCTAAAGGAATTCTTTTTGTGGCTATTTGCTAAAACATTGCTCTGACAGGAGATAAAAGAATCGACCTGAAGGAAAAGGAGACGAGCGTAAAACATTCCATCAGGAGTATTCATAGTAAAAATGGGACAGAGGGTTTGTTGGATAAGAGATTTACATTTTCAGGCTTCTGTGCACATGTGTAATAAATTACATTATATATCATTTAATATGTTTTTTTAAAATTTATCTAGATTTAGGAATCCAAAGGCATACTGTTGGACAGGTCCACTTAAGTGTCTTTAGGCAAATGAACCTATAAATAACAAGTAGGGATGTCCTGATATCAACCTCAGCCAATCTCTGCTTGCTTTTTTTTTTTGCCTCCTCAGAGTATCAGTAAATAACCAGATGTTTTAAATACACTACACTGAGCCACATTAACAGATTTAAACATGAAAATATTGGAGGATTAGTTAGTGCTTTTCAGGGTCCCACGACCCAATCCCAGGAGTCAACAGTGAGTCAAGACAAATATAGAGACTGACTCATCTCTGTGGTCAATTTAGACTGTAAAATGAACTTAATCCTACATGTGTTTGGACCGTGGACCAAGGAACGGGAGAAAACCTGCACACAGGAAGACATGCTAACTCCATCTGTGATGGAACCGGTGATGTTATTGCTTAAAGGGAAGAGCTCTAACGCTGCATTAAATATTGTTCTGTTCAATTATCTGCTATGTGTAAAATTTACATTAGGTTGATTACTCCAGCTTATATTTCTTACATTATTTCCCTGGCATTTTTAATTAGTTACTTATCAATGTGAAAGACCGGATCAGGATTGTTTACCAAACTAAAAGATGACATCCCAGGACATCCCCAATAACAACTGATTTGTATAAATACTTTTTTTTCCTGGTATATTTACAACGTTCTCACCACTGATTGTAGAAAGACTCAATTTCATATGTCAAAAGATACTTTAGAGAAATATTTTCTCTATTTTCTACAGTACTGTTACTATGAACTGTAAAATACATATCAGCAAAGTGATTTCTACCGTTTGCTTTAAGATACTGACATGTGATGTGAGTTTGTGTGAATAAACCAGGGGAACAGAAAATAAACAATGTAGCTCTGCCTCAACACACTGGGACACAGGCTAATCGGAACAACACAGCGTAGGGGAGGTGGGGGGGGGGGGGGGGGTGGAGCGGGGGGAGGAGGTGGAGGAGGTGGAGGAGCAGGTGGAGGTGGAGCAGGTGAAGTAGGAGGAGGTGGACATAGCTAAGTATTTTAAGACAAATTAGTGCATTTTTAGTCATTTTTGAGAAACTTTTTTTTCCGGAGATTTGTTCAGGAACTTATTGGTATGGTATTATACTGTGGTCAAAAGTTGACCTACCAAAAAAGTATAATTTTTCTCAATTTTAACAACAGAAATGGACATAGCAAAGTATTTTAAGACAAATTAGTGCATTTTTAGTC